GACATGGATTAATTCCTCCATGATTCGTGATTCTGTGTTATAGACTCTGAAACATTTTGATCATTAAGAATATCCTAAGAACAAACACTTATGCGCTTTGGAATCAAAGTTGCCCAGATTCTCTTTAGTATTCAACATAAAACATACACATCCGAAGGGATGGAAATAACAAATGTTGGGCTTTCTATTCTTCCATAATTCATAAGGAGTCTTACTCAAAATAGGTCTTATCGATATTCTATTTTGAATATAACACGATGTATTTAATGCTTCTACCCATAAGTGCTTAGCCATCTGAGTTTCATGGATCATGGTGCGAGACATTTCTTGAAATTTCCTATTTTCCCTCTCTACAACCCCATTTTGTTATGGAGTTCTAGGGTAGGAGAAATCATGGATTATGCCATTATAATAAAAAAAAAATTCAAAATCTTTGTTTTCAAATTTTCCATCATGATCGCTTCTAACTCTAACTATTTTGCAATTCTTTTCATTTTGCACTTGGGAGCAGAAAGAAGCAAACAAGGAATGTGACTCATCCTTGTGTTTCAATAAATTTACCCATGTCCATTTGCTGTAATCATCAACAACCTTTTGTTCAATGATGCTTTCTCTGAAAACCTGTTGTTCTCCTCTAATCTCACCAATTGCATTTTCCATACGTGCAATGATAGTATCTGAAGAAGACACAACCAAAGCATCTTGTCTTTCCTTTTCCGCCTCTTCAACTTCCAGAGCTAACCTATCTTCCTCAGCAACTCTAGAATCTTCCTTAGACTTAAGCCTAGCTTATTCTGCCTCTTGGAGTGCTCTAGCTTCGTCTTCGTCTTTTCTTTCTAGCTTCGTACCATATAATGAAATTCGAGATTTTAAAATACACAGAAAACAAAATATAACACGAAGATAGCTTGGAAGCATCTCAATAAATTAATCCAATAAGAATACTACAATACATCACTAAAGGCATGATTATTTCTAATGTAAATTAATTACAAGATAATCAAAGTTTCTTTAAACAAAGAGATTTAAAAACCTTTACATAGAAATTCATTCCAAACATAATTGGATTTATGACGATCCAATAGGTTTGATGCATCGCAGACCTAAGCATACACACCAAATCACTATAAGTGAGATCTAACCTAAATGTAATCTAAAGGATGCAATGTTGCCATAGCTATAATAATGAATTAATAAAATTAAAGGAGAAAAAGGAAGAAAGAAAAGGTACACATAAATGTATAGTGGTTTAGCATTCATCCTCGCTTTGCCTGCTCCACTCTTAAATGGTGTTAAACCATCTGGAAATAATCATGATCTTCCACTATTTTATAAGTTTGATACAATCATACATTACAACAAAATATCACATGATAATTTCCTCAATTGATGCAGACACTCAAACTGATAACAAAAATAAGATCCTCAATAATCTTGATCCAATAACCTTGATCCAATAACCTTTATATCCATAATAACCAACTCTAAGTTTCATATGTGGAAATCCATCTTGATCCCACCAATTACTTGTATGAGCATTGACATTAGTTAAACGTTCAATTGTACAACTCCTAACTTTGTCTTATGAACAATCTTTAATAGATTTACCAAAGTCTTCCATGAAGTATAGTGAAACTCTCATCTTGTAGATAACATACAATCCAAACTGCATTCAAGAAACAATCTTTGCACCTTTTACAAACACAAAAAACACACAAAAACATTGTATACCCTAATGTACAACTAGTATCCCTTAAACATTCAATATTTAGAGGTGAAGGTCCACAACATTGGATTAGGACTAAGGTTGAAAATGATGAATAATGTCAAAACAACCACACACACACACACACACTCTAATTCATAAGATATAACAAGGAATTTGATGTTGGTGAATGAAGAACACACTCAAAGGTTCTCCCAAGTTTCTGCATTAAATGGGTCTTAGATCTTGATAGTTATCTTGAGCTTGATAAAAATTGAATAATTACAATATTAATTAACTCTCTTTCTATGGTTTCTCTCAAAAAACAAATTACACGCACAAACAACTATTTAAATATGAGGTGGAAATTTGGAATTTTGAAGTTATGATTCGAATCATTATTCAAACCCATGACTTTAGTCAACTAAAAACCATGATTCAAGACATATTTTTTTGTGATTCGAGTCAAGTTAAACTTATGATTCAAACCAATTTAGCCAGAGCCTAATTCTAGCTTTCGTGTAGAGCTATGATTCAAGTTAAGTTTGTCTTGTGATTTGAATCAAATCACACAAAGACAAAATCTAATTTTCACAAATTGCGTGATTCGAGTCATACAATATACATGATTCAAATCAAACAACTTAACACTTTGATTCAAGTGTGCTAACTTGTGATTCAAGGAACACTCGATGAAAATATATAAACCAACTTTCTAAGCTCAAAAATGATACTTAATATCATGGATCAACATTCTAATTAATTGAGTAATGAGGGGACTTAAGGTACAATAATACATAGCCGATGGAAACAAAATACAATTCAAATGCGAATGAATTACAAACACACAAATGATAAATAATGAGAAAATTACAAATACACGAATAATCGAATAAGACATACTCACAAATTGACAAAAACATCAAAATAAAAGACCTGCAATTTCATAACCATGTATCAATTATGAAGAGAAGTTACTAGCCAAAAACTTTGAGAAGAATAAGGCGTTTGGAACTGGAAAATGTAAATGTTTGACCTCTTGACTAGTCATAAAAGAGCATTTCACCTCTGTATGGATCATGCTTGAGGTACTGTTGAAATTTCGTTCTACTAATGTCAAGATGTCAGACATAGTATTTGAACAATGTGTACAACAATAATTATATGTAACAAAAAGGATAAAACCAAAAACTAAATAAAAAATCATTATTAACCCAGTTTGTTACCCAAGTCACATACGTTTGGGGGCATTTACCCAATGAAAGAAAGCTCACTCTTAATATTCAGAACTACAATTTGTTCTTATTTAAACTCTCTCAACTCAATGCCTTTTTTCTAATACTACCCATGAACTTCGATTCAGGTTCCTATGAATATGAGACCTCTTACACTTTCACTGAAACACTATCCCGTATGTTTTAATAAGTACAAAAGTATATGAATGAATAAAGAATAATACAACTCAAATAATTTATTCTCCTAACTTAGAATTATGACCCAATAATAGAGTATTAAAAAATAAAGCACATAATTAATAACAAATAAACACCACTATCATAGAAGTGCAAGGTCTTAGTCTTCACAAAAGAGAACACCTCCTTAAATAGCAACAAAAGCCTAGTAAGGTTTTAATTTTAATGCGGCTGAACCACAAAAAGTGAATAGGATCAATCTTAATAATGTTGATTGTAAATCTTGATTGAACCAAATCTTGAATAAATCTGAATAACTTAAATATATGAAATTCAAACTTACTAAAACTAATTCATAATAAATATTTCTTAAATTAAACGTGCATAAACAATCAAATCTTTGATTGGACATAAAATGAAACAAATCTTCAAAAGCACGAGATATACTTCAATCACCCCTGTGCACCAAGAAAATAGCGAGGCAAGATGTCTCACATACTTCATGAAATTTTGCTTAACATATTTCTTTTACTAAAGTGTCACAATCACTTTGAGACAAGATGTCTCACTACTTGACTTAACATCCTTCTTCACATATTTCCTACAAAATATTGTCAATCACTTGTAACAACAAACTCCCATTTACATGCAAGATTTTAAGCATGCACTACACCAAAAACGAGTTTTGGCACCGCTACATAGACAGCGCTTATGCAAAAGCGCTGCTGTAGGTATCCAAAAAAAAATACTTTAGACAACGCTTATTAAAAGCGCTGCTATAGGCCTTATCAAAGGCAACGCTTTTTCTCCCTAAGCGCTGCTATAGGGTTTTAAAAAAAATAAAAATTAAAAAATTAATAAAAGCGCTGCTAAAGGGTATGCTTTAGACAGGGCTTTCAAAAAGCGCTGCAAAAGGTGTAAGTCTAAAAGTGCTGCTAAAGGGGGGTAAACCTAAAGCGCTGCTAAAGGGGGGTACCTTTAGCAGCGCTTCTTGAAAGTGCTGCCTTTGGTTTGTTAATTTATTTCTAAACCCCTAACCCCTAAATCAGATTTCCAGAAACACAAAATTAAACACATGTCGCTGTTCATCTTCTTCTCCATTCGTCTCCTCCCAAACTCCCCCTGTCTCACTCCATTACTCCCTTTGTTCCGTCATCTCTCTGATATAACTCCCTCCGGTAGTCATCCAACACCGCTTTTCCCCTGCAACTCGCCATCATTTCCCCTCCTCACCATAAACAAGCTTCCGCCAAAACAACTTCATTCAACCGTTCCATCTTTCATAAAACCCTAAAAGAGCCATTTCTGAGTGTTGAGATTTGGCCGAATTTGCTTCAGCTGCCGTGAAGATGGTGAAAGGACGTCAAGGCGAGCGTGTTAGGTACCTTCTTCATTTCGTCTGTCATCGTTTTTTTTTGTTCAGATTTGCAATTTTTTGTACTCGTAGCTTTTGACGTGATATTGTAGTTTAATCTTTTTTCTGCTATTCGTTTTCAATTTGTGTTAGGCTTTATGTGAGGGGCACAATTCTTGGATACAAGAGGTATATTCTTCATTCCTCTATAAAATTTTTAATTCTTTTACCCATGATGCAAAACTGAAATATAGTGTTAAGAGTATTTTGTTTGATACTTATTCCTTCATGTTGTTTTTGTAGATCCAAATCAAACTAGTACCCAAACACATCTCTGGTCCAAATCGAAGGAGTTAACACCAAGGAGGAGGTAGCTTGGTATGCCGGAAAGCGATTGGCATATATCTACAAGGCCAAGGTGAAGAAGAATGGAACCCATTAACGCTGCCTATGGGGAAAGGTTACAAGGCCACACGGAAACAGTGGTATTGTTCGTGCCAAATTCACATCAAATCTTCCTCCCAAATCAATGGTAATAATTTACCAATACAATTATTTAAATCATTGTGTTTTGTAATTTTATATTCACTTTGAGTTTTGATTCATTTCAGGGATCAAGGATAAGAGTGTTTATGTATCCCAGTAACATTTGAGGTAAACCTGAGTCTGGATTCTTTTTGAGTTCTGAATCCTTTGTGTTTTTCTTATGCATTTTGTTACTTGATGTGTTTTTTTTTTCATATATGGTTCTATCAACATTCTTAAGCATAAACCAAACTTTCTAGTATAATAACAAAACTCTCAAAATAGTGAATCCATCTTTCCTGTAGTCGTCATTTATTTTTGTTATCATTTAATTTAATACTTTGTCTTACCCAAAAGTTATAGTTATGCTGTCCTTTACTGGTAGATGTCTGATCTGCAAATTTGACTATTTTATGCTTGAATAATCAATTGTGACTATTTTATAGGGTTTTCAACTCACCACCGATTCACGCTCCTTCATCATTTGCTTATCCATTCCGCAGCTTTTCTGCCTCCAAGACCACAAAACAGAACTGTAACACCTCCACACTTCTATATTCGCATTACCGGCTACTCCACAACAACCAACCAGACAATTTCTCATCAACCAACAATCGCGCACCTCTCAACAACTGCACCGCACCCAACTCACCAATCTGACCATCAATTCATCCGCACCAAGCCTCCGCTACCCGACACCGCCAGATCCACGACACCATCCTCTGACCATACGCTTTGCCACGGTTTCAGTCGGTAATATCTTTGTATTGGATTTTTGTATGATACTTGTGGTTTAGAAATATGAACCATTTTTATGTATCCTTGCAATTTTCATTTTTTTTATTTGGGTCTAGTTTACTCAAAATTGAAAAGGGGGTGGTGTTGTTCTTCGAGAGAGAAAGAGAAAAGCATTCTGAAGGGTTTAATGATGTTTTGATAGTTTTTCTTTGGTCATATTGGTTTTAATTTGTTTTTTTTTTAAACATTTTAGAATGTGATTTGTGTTAGATTGGGTTTGGACCTCTTAACTGCTTCATCTTCATCGTTACCAACCACTTCTCAGAACTCAAAACTGATTATTTGAAAAGTGATTATTTGAATAGTGATTTTGAAAAGTAGCTTTTTCTCGATCTGTATTTTCAGGTAGTTAATACGATTAAGTGATTATGATTTAAGTTACTTTTTCACCTCTTGTTATTGTTACTACTGTGATTATATATGTATATATTTTCCATGAAGCTGAACCTCACGAGTCTTATTCTCAACTACCACAGTTCTCTTCTCATAGACACTGTTAGTTGGATGCATTATAGTTTTCAAAGCAGTTTTTTCTGTCTCACTCACTCTTTGACTCACTCTGATAGTGTTTTTTGTTTGTATAATTATAGATTTGTGTGACTTGAAGGTGAATCAGTTTAAGAATAGTCGAAGGAAAATGAAAGGTGCGGTTCTTGTTGCAATTGCTGATTCCATCGGGAATTTTCTTCAGGGTTGGGATAATGCTACCATTGCTGGTAATTTTCTTGCTTTTTTCTTTGATTCTTCTAATTTGGTTGTTTATAGATTTAATTAGATGGTTAGTAATTACAACTTACAAGGTTTTTTTTCTTCAAATTCGGCTTATTTGTTTACGAATTAGATTAGATGATTAGTAATTATGATTCAGGTTCAAATGAATTTGATATTCAAATCATTGATCTTAGTTTGTATGGTTAAATGATTCAATTTGTTATTTTTGTATCGGCTGAATCGGATCTAAGATATGTCTGGATTCAGTTATTTGTGTTTATCTGCTAACATAAGCACTTCTGAGTCTGTTTTAATATAAGCTATAAGCTTATGAATCCATCTTATAGCTTATGTGAAAACTTCATTTTATTTTTTCATATAGAAATAAATAGCTTGTACATAAGCACTTATATGATATAAGCACTTAATTAAGATGTTTGTTCGAATAGGTTCTAGTATGGTCCAATTTAACAAGCAAAGTGTTTCAGCAGGAATTGTATGGTGTGAGTTGCTTATTGAATGCTTATTTTTCATGTTTGTTTGTAGGTTCGATTCTTTACATTAAGAAAGACCTTGCTTTGCAAACAACTATGGAAGGGCTTGTGGTGGCCATGTCGCTAATTGGAGCTACTGTCATTACGACTTGCTCTGGTCCCATCTCAGATTGGCTTGGTCAGAGACCAATGTTGATAATCTCATCCGTGCTGTATTTCTTGGGTAGTTTGGTGATGTTATGGTCTCCTAATGTTTATGTGTTGTGCTTAGCAAGGCTGCTTGATGGATTTGGTATTGGCCTTGCCGTAACTCTTGTCCCGGTTTATATATCGGAGACTGCTCCCTCCGATATAAGGGGGTCGTTGAATACACTTCCCCAGTTCAGTGGTTCTGGAGGAATGTTTTTATCATATTGTATGGTTTTTGTGATGTCATTGAGTGCCTCGCCTAGCTGGAGAGTAATGCTCGGGGTTCTCGCTATTCCTTCTCTCTTCTTTTTTATATTGACATTATTCTTCTTGCCCGAGTCTCCTCGATGGCTCGTGAGTAAAGGAAAGATGCTAGAAGCTAAAAAGGTTCTCTCAACGATTACGTGGCCAGGAAGATGTGTCAGGTAATGTTACTATATCTAAACCAATTTCATCCATTTGAACAAGGACAGTGTCTATTTACATAATGTTGGGTTCATGGTTACTTAGTTTCAGACAAACGTTAAAATTTTAATTGAAAGTATGCACTTAATTGAACTTTGTTCAAGCTATAGCACTTAATTGTATTGATGTGTTTTGTGTTTGATACCGTTCATTTCTTCACACATTCTCTTTTTGCCTTTTTATTGTTAATTTTGTTATCTTATATCATTTTATAAATTCCTATAGGCGAGATGGCATTGCTAGTTGAAGGTCTCAGGATTGGAGGTGATGCATCTATAGAAGAGTACATACTCATGATATTTTGCAAACCAAAGAAATTGTGAGTATTATTGTTATTGTTGTTATTCCCTAACTGTAGCTGTTGATGATGAATATGATGATCAGTAGTAGTAGTATAAGTATTATGATCATCAGAATCTTGTTCTTGCTTACACCAAAGCTTCTGAGTTTGAGTTTGTGCACCATAAGGGTAATGCTGCAACTGCATGTTATTGGTATTGTAAGGGTGTTGTGGTTGTTGGAATGAAAGAGCATGCTAATTAGCTGCTGCATAGTTGTTGATGACTTGATCTATTAAATGGGAATTAGTAGCATTATTATTGATGATGCTATGATGATGATGATCTTGGCCAATATTATCCACCACATTAACACTCAATAATTCAACTTGCTCCATATCTTTCAAACGCTTTGCAGAACCACCGATCGGTAAAGTGCTGCTCTCAAGTATGGTTTTCACATCGTATCGAATCATGTCGAAATTTGTAACCGCACTTAGTGCTCTGAACTTTATGGCTGCTACATCATATGCCTCTGCTGCCTCTTTTTTGTTATATAGTTAGTTAGAGATTAGAAAGTTAGTTACGAATGAATTGAATTAAGTGTGGACTGTTTTATTCTGGTATGAAAGTATGAAATGCTAACTGGATTTTCGTTGTTCATTTTTCTACATGGCTGAAATGATGAGCTGGTTCAAGGATCAATTTTTGTTTTTGTGAATTGTTTCCAACTATTTTTTTGATCTGGATTTTTGTTGGACTGATATGGATTAAAGCAAGTCTGACTGGTTCAATTTGGAAAGTTTGGATGCAGGTTAAATTATTTTATTGAAAACTGGTTTGAATTATGGAATGTATGAGGATGATTTGGGATATGTAAATGGCGTTTGTTACAGGTTCTGGTAGGTTCAATTTGTGATGTTGATGATGGTTTCGCTGCAGGAGGGTATGAATGGATTTGGATGTGGCATAAAAGTTGCATACTAAAAGATCACGATGTTTTTGATACTTGGCCTTGAAGATGATAATTTGAAGATGAAGAAGCCTGAGAATGAAGGATGAAGTTATCGAGACCAAAGGCTTGGTCTTGAAGCAAACTTGAAGAGACTTTTTTAGAATTAGGTCTAGAACCAAATCTTTGTATAATTTTCCTTGAAATTTGTAAAGGATGACTTTTCTTGCGTTGATGTATTGGTGCCTTTGAATTTGGAGCGTCCTTGCATTTTGTACACTTTGTAATTAATGGTAAAAAACTCCAAGTATTCAAGCCAACTTTCTTCTCCAAATTGCATACTCCTTTCTTTGATCTTGAAGTATCATTGATAGAATGATGATGAATAATGTTGAATAGCAATTGAACTTAAATTTTTAAAAAAAATAAGGAAAAGCGCTGCTAAAGGGGGGGGGGGGGGGGTAATAGACAGCACTTTTCATGAAAGCGCTGCTAAAGGGGGGGGGGGGGGGGGGGTAATAGACAGCGCTTTTCATGAAAGCGCTGTCTAAAGTGATTGAAAAATAAATAAAAAATTTTAAAAAAAAAAGGAAAAGCGCTGCTAAAGGGGGGGTAATAGACAGCGCTTTTCATGAAAGTGCTGTCTAAAGTGATTGAAAAAAAAATTAAAAAAAAATGAGGAAAAGCGCTGCTAAAGGGGGGGTAATAGACAGTGCTTTTCATGAAAAGCACTGTCTAAAGTGATTGAAAAAAAAATAAAAAAAAGAAGAGGAAAAGCGCTGCTAAAGGGGGGTAATAGACAGCGCTTTTACCAAGCACTGTCTAAAGTGATTGAAAAAAAAGCGTTGTCTATACCTTTAGCAGCGGAGGTTTTAGCAGAGCTTTTAAGCGCTGTTAAATGCCTAAAAAAGCGCTGTCTAATCCCTTGTTTGGCATAGTGATGTTATTACAACATTCTTCCATATAAGCATTATTCTTTATAAATGAAACATGTTTACTAAAATCAAATCACATCTAAGCTAATAAATAACATGTCAATAAATTGGAACTACTTTTGATGAGGAAAACACTTGCATAACCATAAATGTGCTTTTACTCTCCATATTTGCCATAAATGGACAAAGACGAAGACATATTATCTGGCCTTTAAGGACATACAAACCAGAAAACCAAATATACAGCCCTCACATGGGAAATATCAACACCAAGAATATACTCCCATATAGGGAAAGCAAAGAACGAAACCAATATTCTACCATACATATGGCGTAAAAGATCATTTAATTAGAAGAAAAAAACAAGGAACCACAAAACATTTCATCATCAAACTGAAAATTAATGAGAGTCACCAGTCTCATATTTCACATCGTTTTCGCATTCACTCCTTGCCTGATCTTCATTTTCACTCAATGCTCAACAAATTTCTTAGCATTTTGACCTGTTGTTTGAGAAGTGGATGCCCATGAAGCCTTGGAATTCATGATCTGGATAAGACCATCAGCCACACTTTTATGGTGGTGAGGTAGCTTTTTCCACTACTTTCCTGGCAGGGACCTTCTCCTTTTTTAGAATAATAGTCTCCTTTATGGCATACTTCTTTACAATAGTTTTCTTTCCCTTTCTAGTAGACTTATTTTTCTTCAAAACATCCCCCCTTTTATTTGAAATTATTTTCTTCTACTAGGATTTACAAACTTCTTGGTGGTAGATTTTTGGGGATTTAATGTGGAATTTTAATTCGTAGTTGTTCTCTTGAACCTTTTTGGAGTCCTTATTGAAGTTTTAGCTTCAACAACAACAAGAACTATGTCTTCAAATTTATCATTGACATATGGCATCTCATCATTCTGATTTTTATCTGACATGTGTT